CAGGGAGGGCGAAGGATGCAGTATGCATAAGTAAGAAGAGTGACACTTGGTCGAGGACTCAGAGCTGTTGATCTGAAATATTTAGGTGTAAAGAAGGGGCGAAGGCAAAGGAGCGCGAGTTGGTACAAGACTCGATATACTCGAAATTAGATCATCCTGATTTATGTACTGCGTCTACGGAAGTGTTTTTGCGAATTGCGAAGCTTTTGAACGCAGAGCGCGCGTTCATAAGTTTGGTAGGTAACGTCAAATGCTGTGGTTTCACCTGCAACACAACAGATTTTGCAGGAACTGGATGGAGGTATCGAAAGTGTCGAAAATGTGCTCAGAAATCTGCAGCCGACATTTCTAATCACATGTAGATCTCTTCTTGTACATGCTTGTCGATTATCTGTTCTGAAGTTGCTCCTTCCCCTTGTGAATCATGGATGCGGACTCCAAATTGAAAACATCGGTGATAACGATGATGATGCCATTGATTCTGCGATATTTGATTCCGAACTAGTAGGCATTTATCCCCAACCTGTTCAGAAATAATTTAAAGCAGTTTCTTACTAGGTGAAAACAGCTCCATTTCTCGACATTACTGCAACATGTCATATTAGTGATGGACAGCTTCTTTATCTCAGAGCTCGCTGCATCAATATGTATACACCCCAAATTTCGGAAGAAGGTCTGATCGGATTGATCACGGTAATTCTTATCTGGTTGTGTATGCTTGCTACTGACGACACCGATATCTCTTTGAGCAACTCCTGCCTTTGGAACAGTAGTACATTGGATTTTTGGGAATTCAGTGCTTCGCCAAAGTGGGTCCTCAATTTTATTGCCTGATCGTGGACTTGGCGTAAAATATGGGGCGAGGGACTTTGAAAGTTACCTATGCCGTAGCATACGTAGGTACTCAGGTACTTGATGGACCGTCTTCATTTGGCGTGCGCGCCTCAGCACAAAATGCGCCCCCCAGCACAAAAGTTTCCAATTCCTGTCCCTCGCTTCAGACATTCACGATCTTCTCGGTTTTCCGTTTTCCGATCTGCGTCCACGAGTTTCAGGTGCAAAAATCGTATCTAGCTAATTTCTCAGCTGGTCCATCCGTTCCACGAAAACGCTTGCTTATCGTTGCTGGTCCTCTTCGAGGGATTTGCTTGAATTGACTCTGATGTTCGTCGTGTCCATCCGTTGTCTGTTCTTCTCGTGATGTGAT